AGACGTTACTGAGTGTCCCTCGTACAGGAAGGAATAAGCCATCCTGTGGAGTCCACAGTGCCAGGTTTAGAGGGACAACGGGATTGTTTGTCAGATTAAAGCAGTCAAACGTAAGGTCCTCTGAGGGCTGCAACTCACGGAACCACTTGTTATTCTTACAGTTTTGTAGTGTCGCATTTTTAACCGGCACGTTTTTTATGATGTTCTTGGTCTATAGAATGTCTTCCCTTCCAGGATAGATGACTGAGAGAGATTATTAGCCTCAGAAAAGTTACTGGCTAGACAAGCAGTGTTAAAAATTATGTTTATTGGGCTTCCCTGGTGGCGCAGTGGTTGAGAGTCCGCCTGCTGATGCAGGGGACGCGGGTTCGTGCCCCGGTCCGGGAGGATCCCACATGCCGCGGAGCGGCTGGGCCCGTGCGCCATGGCCGCTGAGCCTGCGCGTCCGGAGCCTGTGCTCCGCAACGGGAGAGGCCACAGCAGTGAGAGGCCCGCGTACCGCAAAAAAGAAAACATGGTGCCAGAAGCTAGAAATGCCATTCACATCCATTGACTCGATTTGGTGTGTCGAAAGGAGGTGGAGCACGTTGATCAGTGAGGTCTGGATTTCTGCACCAGTGCGGGAAAGCAGAAGACTTAAGTCTTTTCTTCAGAACATGGTTCAGTTGCACACAAGATTAGCAGCTCACTGGTTCAGAGATGACTTCTTGTGCTGTCTTTTTTGCACTTGGTCGGTTTGGGTTTGAATTGGCCTTTACTTCCCAGAAATGTGTGCCGTGTGCCCTTCACAGCAGTGCCAGGTTGGATGCTCAGATGAGCCGAGATCTTGCCTGGCGTCCTGTGCTCCGGCCACCTCAGGGGGAGAGAGAAGTGTGCTCAAGGGCAGGTGCAGTTCCTGGCACCTGCTGGAGTGTGAGCCCCTCTGCAGACTAATGTGTAATTCTTATTCTACACCTCTTCCCATTTCCCTAAAAATTGGTTGAATTTCCATATGTATCCTTCAAGGACTTCCTCATACTTCTGGAGCAGAGCTGAGTTTGGCTAGGTTTGATGATATGTTATATATATAATTAGTGATGTTTATTGGCCATAGGAGTAAACAAAGCAAAAATCTCTTTTGTAAGAGTAGTTACTGTAAAAGTGTCATAACAGAATTAATTTTGATTTTAAAATAAAGTCATTCTTTAAGCTGATTTTTATCAGGGCAAAAGAATGCCCGTGTTTAGTATTAAAAGATCATTTACATATGACCTTGTGCGAGAGGTTGGAAATGAAATATTCAGCCCTGACTCTCGCTTCAGCCTAATGCATGGCACAAGTTTTTGTCAGCGGTCTCTCAAATATTACTCATGATTATGCATTTATATAACATTTTTTTCATCCAAGATTGAACCTAAATTACAGCATCTTACTGAAGACTACAATCTATGAGCATGAATTAGACCCTGTACTACCCAGCCATCTGTCTTCTCTTTTCTCATTCTTTCTTTTAATTTTTTTAATACATTTATTTGTTTTTTTTATTTTTGGCCGCGTTGGGTCTTTGTTGCTATGTGGGGGCCAGTTTTTGTTGTGGTGTGTGGGCTTCTCATTGCGGTGGCTTCTCTTATTGCAGACCACGGGCTCTAGGCGCACGGGCTTCAGTAGTTGTGGCTCACAGGCTCTAGAGCGCAGGCACAGTAGTTGTGGCGCACGGGCCCAGTTGCTCCGCAGCATGTGGGATCTTCCCGGACCAGGGCTCGAACCCGTGTCCCCTGCATTGGCAGGTGGATTCTTAACCACTGCGCCACCAGGGAAGCCCCTCATTCTTTCTTTTTAAACCAAACCCAGTCAACTGGGAACCCAAGCAAACACTGGAAATGCAAGGTGCCCTTTAGTCCCTAGGATTCAAGGTTCACTTGCCTTTCATTCAAAACATAACTCCGGGACCTGTCACTTTGGTTGGTCTCTGTTAGAGATTCCTTGACTTGGACGATTCAGACAGCTTCAGCCTTTGAGACACCAAAGCCTGAGGCTCACCTGAACATCCAGTGACTTGCTTACAGCATCAGTTCCGGGGGACTACAAGAGTCGGTTTTCTTGATGTTTTGATGTATACTAATATCCCACCTTTATGATGTCTGATTACGTCATTGGCCATATGCACGAGTCAGTAGTCCCAGGGGATGTGGTATCTAGTTAAATAGAAAAACACTTGGAAACAATATGTCCGTGAGCAAAAAATTGTAGCGTCTTGGCATTTTATTTAAAAAAATGCAATCCAATGTAAATCTCGACTTAATTAAATTTGACCAGTAACTTAGCACATTCAGTAAATCAAGAGTAATTTAAACTTGCTTAGATAAAGAGAGGTGAATTTTGCTTTGGGGGAAGGAGGGTTAAAATAAGAGATAGGAAGTCAAGTTTACTGGTAAAGAGATAACCCTTGCCCCATTCTGTGTAATAGGCATACGTATCTCCTTAGGATGCTTTATTCAGCTCATTTCTTCTGTTCTCAAAGCGTGGCACCACCATCCATTCGGTTTCCCAAGCAAAAGGCAGAGCATCGTTTTTGGTTTCTATCCCTCTCTCCGTCCCAAGCTCCAAGTACTGTTGATTTGACAGGTGAGAACCTTTCACCCAGCATTGCTGTTGAGAAGAACGGACCGTTCAGTGACCCAGGCCTTTGTGTGGGCTCTGCACCAGACACTTAGGCTCTCTGCTTTAACCCAGGACTCTGAATTCCACGTCTTGATACGGACCTTTCTTCCATTCATTCTACTAGAGACCGTCAAATCTGGTTTTACCTATCTTTTAGTTCTGGAAATTTTCTTGTATTATTTCTTTTTTTTTTTTTTGCGGTACGTGGGCCTCTCACTGTTGTGGCCTCTCCCGTTGCAGAGCACAGGCTCCAGACGCGCAGGCTCAGCGGCCATGGCTCACGGGCCCAGCCACTCCGCGGCGTGTGGGATCCTCCCGGACCGGGGCACGAACCCACGTCCCCTGCATCGGCAGGCGGACTCTCAACCACTGCGCCACCAGGGAAGCCCTCTTGTATTATTTCTTAATCATTTCTTCCCACCTTTTTCTCTCTCTTCTCTTTCTCTGTTAGGTGGATGTTAGACTTCTGGGATTGAACTTGAATTTTCTTGCATTTGCTCTCCTGTAACGTGTTGGGCGAGTTCCTCAGTTTACCTTCCACCTGTCTTACTGGATTTTTTATTTTGAATTTTAGCCATCCCCTTTTTAAATTTCAGAAGTTCCTTCTCTTTCTCTGAGGGTGGTGAGCCTCACGGCAGGGTGATCAGGTGGTGTACACCTGCTTGTCTTTACTCTGGAGAAAGATCCCTATTATTCGAGGCGTGACCCTGAAGCTGGGTTTGGAGGAAGGAGCAACTCGGGGGTCTCGTTTCCAGTGAAGCTTTCACTTCACCTTTTGTTTTCAGCTGTGCTCTTCTGGGTACCTCGTGACCTTGAGTCCCTCCTTTGGGGTTGGGTTCTCGAGACCGTTGCTCCTGCCCTCTAGAGGCGGGGGTGGGTATTGCCAGGCGGGGCCCAGTGCCGCCTGGACCCCAGCGTCACACTTTTCTCTGCTCACTCCTTCCCTTCCCCTTCTGCTTTCTGTGGCATCTCTGTTCCTGCAGCTGTTTAAGTGTGCAAGGGGATGGTCGTGCTTCTCTTTGTCTTCCCCTCTGGACGCCCTTGGGTTTGCCTTTCTCTGCTCCACCATTGACGTTCTCCCATTTGCCTTGCATCTTTTTTTTTTTAATTCATGAAATTTATTAAAATCTAATTAACACACCATAGCATTTACCCATTTTTAGAATATTTTCAGAGTTGTGCAACCATCATCCCATTCTAATTTTAGAAAATCCTAATCATCTGAAAAAGAAACCTTGTTCTGCCTTAGAGACACTCTCTATTCCCATCCCCAGTCCTAGGTGACAGCTTATCTACTGTCCTTCTCTATAGATTTTCCAGTCTCGATATTGCCTTCCATCTTCATATACTGTGTTTTGGTGTCTCCAAGTTTTGTTGATGGTCCTCTTTGGTTTTGGTTTTTGTTCTCTTTGTTCTTTTGTAATGATTCTGAAAAGTTTTACTCCACCACCTTGAGGATGAAAGTCTCCTGTTTAAAGAGCGATACCTTATCGCCTTAATAGATTTCTTAGAGTGAATATGAGAAAGTTTTTCCGCTGACTCCGGAACGTCTAGGTAGAGGCATGGCTTCATTCATGTGGTAACTTGGGATGATTTACCCTGACACTCAAATCTGAGACTCACCGAGGCTTCCTGTGTCCTGGCCAAACAGCACCAGTTGGCTTTGCAGGTCACTTTGGTCACGTCAGTAGCACTATGTGCACGGTGTAACTTGAGGGATGTCTGAGATCACATTTTTCAGGCTAAAGGGTCTTACATCGCTGACTGATCATTTGAGCCCACAGGAGATGACCTTGTGAGGACCCGTGGGAGTGACCGTGTAACTAAGACCACACGTGACTTTGGCAGGATGGACACTCCGGCTTTCCCTTGACTGTGACAGCTTTTGCGAAGTTTGTTTTTCACTTTTCTCAGACTTGGTATAACATGTGACTCTGATCCCCGATGATACAACTGTACTTGCAGCTATCTGTTTAGATTATGTTTGAGGCGTTTTTCATCGATTAAAGTTTATCTGTCACCCATGTTCAATGCAGATGATTCAGTGTATGCAAAGTGGTTAAAGGTATATGGCAGTCTGTCCACGAAGTTTGCAGGCTACCTGGAGAGACAGAGCCTATGAATGAAACACCTGACAGGTGTATCTGTCGGTTAATCAGAGCCACGGGCGCGAGACTGCCTCCTCCTGACCCGTGCTGGGGGGTGAACAGACACGGTCACCGTCGCCAGGGCTGCTCCTGAGGGTGATGGCTCTGCATCACTGTCCTGTGCGCCCCAAGAAGCACGTGTGCGGTTGGGAGTGACGGTGCTGAGGGCTCGGCGCTGAGCACCCCCCCAACCATCTCTTCTTGACTTCACAGAGGGTGTTCGGAGCTCTGCCGGATCCCCATGGTGGAGTACAAGCTCGACAGCGAGGGCACCCCCTGTGAGTACAAGACCCCCTTCCGGAGGAACACCACATGGCACCGAGTGCCCACGCCCACCCTGCAGCCCCTGCCCAGGGCCTCCCCGGTGCCCGGCACGCCTGACAGGCTGCAGTGCCAGCCGCTGCTCCCACAGACCCAGGCCGCCATCCCACGCAGCACCTCCTTTGACCGGAAGCTGCCCGACGGCACCAGGTAAGGCTGGTACCGTTTCCTCATGGGCGGCCCTTGTGAAGCTCTTGCAGCTAGAACTTCAGAGCGTCCGGGGGACTTTTATGTGGCTTAATCATTTCTGAGTTTGCTTGTTCTGACCAAGTGGGCAGGCAGGGTGGCCAGGCGGGCCCCAGATGCTGGGGTGCTTGGGTTCCTGGCCCAGCAATGATGCTGATGGCGTGCATGTCCTCCCCACGGACGCTGCCCCCCAGGGCCACAGCCATCCCTCTCCACCGCGATCCTCCTATCAGCCCGCTCTCCACACCATCTCGGGAAAGATATCCGAGAAACCATTTTGCAGGAGCGTCTAGATAAATATGGACGGTTTGAGTATAAAGAAAGCCGCAGAATCGGCGATGAAATCCCGTCACCCTCGTGGGTGTAGTATTTTCAGAGGTCCTAGGATCATCAGCATCTGTTTGTTTTTCTCTCTCATTTTAAGCAAAGGGAGTTGAGTTTAAAATTAAGCTTTTCCCTGAGAGAACGCACTCGTTTAAAAGTTAAATCCAACAGCATTAGAAGCTCGTGAGAATTTTCGGGGGTTGCATAATTCGCAAAGGTCGTTTTAAGTGAACAACGTAGTAAATTTGTTTTGTTGTGGTTATTGATTCCTACTCTTTTTGTTTTAACTTTCGCATAACTTGTGGGCCATGGAGACACCGTGAGTTTCCTCCGAATGTCTTGTCAGGCTCTCGTCTAATAGAGCGTATGCCGTAAGCAGACGCTGGGCCAGGCTGTTTGCGTGACGGGTCATCACCTTGGCCTGTTACTTGGCCTCTCCCAGTCTCCAGTTTCCTCGTCTGAAAAATCAATTTAGCAATAATAGAGGCCTCCACAGGGCATTAGGACAATTGAGTCAATCAAGAGAGGTGAACTGCCTAGAACCATTCCTGGCACCTAGGGAGCCTATACAGGCATTAATAATAATTACTAAGATGAGGACACGTGGTCTTCCTCTGCTTCCTCCAGTCTGTTCTTCTAAGAGTGAGTGCAGGAATGGTGTTACTTCAACTTGACTCTAAGTCATCTGGGCTCTTGGTCTCTTCTCAAAGGTCTGCTGAGTTTATAAACTTCCCATATTCAGAGAAATGCACATAGTACATAGCCCAGGTGAAAAGGGGGACATCGGGAAGGAAAGGGGTCTGCAGAACGTCCCTTATTAACATAGAAGTTAGTAAGTTATAAGGAAGGGTTCTAATAGCAACAGGGAAGTTGGCGAGCACATCTTCATCAAGTGAATTCTCACGACGATCATTCATTTTTGTGTGTCTGAAATAAATAGGATGGCATTCAATCGATGTGTGGAGATACATGGCTTTGCCAGAAATTTAGGGTTTTCTCTCTGTATGGATTTTAAATATAGAAGCACAACGTGCCTTGCATTAAGTCTCACAGACCAAGTAGTAGTGATGTTTTCATAATTCTGTGTTCTTGGGGGTTCCGCGTGTTTCACTGGCGTCATTAGCTGTGCTTGAAATCTTTAGATGGTGAAGCCTTGTTTCCGCCACATCTCTTTCTTATAATAAATTACCAACTATAAACCACCTGAGATCTCATGGCATCACCAATTCTTAGTTCATTTGTCCACGACTGCGATGCGTGTTTCTCCTTTTCTTCATCACTGAAAAATGAATTCACTTGTAAAACAAAACAAGCCAGGTCAGGAAGTTGGCAGCCTGCAGACCCCTCAGGGCCCGGTTACTGATTCTAGTCAACCTTTCAGAAGTTCACCCAGCAACCAGTCCTCCTCCAGTGATCCTGGACCCGGCGGGAGCGGACCCTGGAGACCACAAGCTGGATACGACGGGTACCGCTCGCTTTCACCTTTCTGCGGGCCCCTGGGGGGCACTGGTTTGCGGGGCACGTTCAGAAGCGCTTACTGTGCACGAGGCCACTGGGGGACAGAGAAATGAAGACAGACCTTTGATAGGACGGGTGCATCCAGGCAGGGTAGCTCATCATTTCTATGGAGGTGGCACTCATTTGTCTGTATTCTGAGCTTGTCCGATTTTTTTTTTTTAACTAAGGGAGAGTCTTTCTGAACATGTAAACGTTAAGGATTTGGAGACCCTGTGGGCGATGGCCCTTGGGAGTTTCCCTTCACTCGAACTGCTGACGAGGAATAAATTCACAGCCTCTCTTGCAAGCGTTTTCTCTCCCAAACCCAGCCCAGAATCAGAGAAGGCCGATTTAGCAGGTCCCTTGTAGTGTGTGAGCAGAGCATCTAGGACCCTGAGGGCACCTGTGAACAGGACACAGAATTTACTGATACAGTCAGTCAGGGGAAACAGCGGGGCGGGCGTGCTTTCCCACGGAGATGCGGGCCTGGCTCAGGGCAGCAGTGTTTCTGTGTGCTGCTGGGGCCCAGTGTTGTCTCTGCTGCTCAAAGGAGCTGGCTGCACTGATTAGACAAGAGAACGGCCAGGTCCGCCGGGGAGGCTTTTCACCGGCCCAGAGAACCTTCCATTACTGCTCTCGCACGTGCCCAGAGAAACGTCTCTCCCCGGCATGCTCCTTCCTTCTGGTTTGGGCTGAGAAGTAGAGCTTTGTGGTCCGAGTTCCATGCATTCCCTACCTTAGATCCTAGAGGGGGGTTCTTAAAAGTGGTACTTCAAGAAATGTTTCTCTGTTGAGTTGCATTTTTAAAGTAGAGGGGAGTCTTTTCTGTCAATGGAAAAACCACTTCTGGCTTTTTCTGCGAACCGGGGTCTGTAACTGGGATTCTGTAAGTAAGTGTCCCTTTGTAACGTGAATAAGTTTTCTGCAGTTTCTTTTGGAAGAGTGAATTGTCCTATTTGGGGGTTTTCATAAGATAAAGTCCACCTGGATGTAGTCTAGCGCCAATCAACCTGATTTTCTTTTTCCTTAAAAACTTTGATATAAGAAAGTATCAGTGCACAAGAGAAACAGCGACAGCAAAAGCAGTGAGCCCCTCCTCGGCCCATCAGGGACGAGCCGTCTGACCCCAGACCGTCCTTCCATCCCCTGGCGTCGGCCGCCTCCTTTATCTGTAAACAGTGTCATCCAAGTGCCTCTATGGACCCAGTGGTGAAACGAGAGCCCCCAGTTCCAGATGCTCTAAGTCTCTCAGGCAGGGCTGGGCTGGCAGACTGCATTTCCATCTGCCAGAGACAGCCTCTGTTTAGGGGTCCCTGGGATTGCCCCTCGGGGAGCCAGCACACACGCGGGACAGTGGTGGGATGATGGGGGGCAAGGCGGGCTCAGCTCTGTGTTCTTTCCAGGTGCCAGTCTCCCCTGCTGCTTGAGCACCAGGGCTCCGGCCCTTTGGAATGTGAAGGGGCCAGGGAGCGGGAGGACGCCATGGAAGGAAGCAGACACCCCGGTAACAAGGACCCCTGCCCCGAGGCGCCCCTCCCTCCTGCCCCCTCCCTCCCCTATCACTCGTTCCTGGTCAGCTGCATCCCGCCCCGTGCGAGTGGGCCGCTGGACCTCGCGACGTCGTCTGGGACGTGGTCACGGCGGGTGGTGCCTGGGGAACAGACCATGAGCGTTGTGGGCAGTTCTGCCTGCTCCAGGGTGTCTCCATCGGCAGGACCGGGAGAAGGTCCTAGAACCACAGTCCTCTTCGCGGTCACTGAACCATTCGTTCGGCTCCTGCAATTCTTCGCTCCTTCGTTAACACGAGAAATGAAATGTTAAGTCTTCTCTCTCTTTGTGACAGAAACCAAATGGCACGGCCCACCTCCCAAAGTCCTGAGCTCCTATAGAGAAAGAGGCCTGCAGAACGATGGAGGCTGCAAGGATTCCCCCAATAAGCTTTCTCATGTGAGTCCTTTCCTCGTGCACTGGCGTTCCTTCGGCCCTTGTGATCATCTCAGCACACGCGGTTTAGTACCGTTGTTGCCAGGGGTTCTCAGGGGTGTCTTTTACCTCACAAGGCTCTTGGGTGGAGGGGAAAAAAAAAAACTAAATGAAAAGCTAAGGGTTTTTTTGGGTTTTTTTTCCTCCTTGAGTTATAAAGGACCACAAAGAAAGGTCATACCGTAAATTATCGGCAGAGCCAAGATCGTAGACTCAGCCTTTGATCCTTGGTATTTTTAATCTGTTAACTCTGACCCACTTGTGGGCACAGCACAGAAGCGGAACCTGTGGAGCAGGGTGTGTGGTGGGCGACACTCTGCCCGGGGCTCAGTGGACAGCCGCAGATGGTGCGCAGTAATGCCAGCCCCAGCCAACTGACCGGCAGCCGGTGTTCCCACAGTGCCCGCGTGGTTTGGTTTACTTTCCGCAAAAATGAAAAAGCGGGCCATGTCGGTGATTGTAGCTCAGTGAAATAAAACTTCCAGTTAAACGTGAAAACAGGAACTGGAGTTGTTGCCAAATGAGGCCAACCTTATAAAGCAGCTGATTTTTCAGAACCTGTGGGCGTTTGATCAGGCCTTGAGCTGAGTTGTTCCTTTCCGTGTCCTCCGTGCGTCACCGGCCAGCTGTAGAGCTAGCCGAGTGTTACCTGCGAACACGTGGCCTCCGTCTCTCAGCGGTATCCCCACCTCGTCTCGAGCCTCATGGAGCCGCTCAGGGCCACCTGCACAGAAGATCCCTGTGTGATAACAAAGGGCAAGAGGAGTTGCTTAAGGATGTGATAGGGAGGGAGGAAAGGCCAAACCACTGGAAAGTAGATCGGGGCTCGGCTGGGTCTCGCGACTGACGATTTGGGCCTCGTTAGTTTTCTCAGCCTGAGGAGAGGGGCCACGTCTGTACCAGGACATCCTCAGACGGGGACATTTACCCTGTTCTCTAGGGATCTCAGAGCACTCCCGAGAGCACCCCATCTCGTCAGCCCCCCGGGGCTGCCCCGACTTGGGCCCTGGGGCCTGTGGCTCGCGCTTACGCCGTGCTTCTGCACGTGAGCTGGTTGGGTCTATGCAGTGATCGCTGGGCTTAGAGTAATAAGCAGAGGGAGGGATCGAGCGGCTGTCCAAAGCCCCATCGCTGTGATTCAGACCTGGGTCTTCAGCCCCAAACGCAGGGCTGGCCTGTCATTCGTCGTAGGAGCATCTTCTGGAGGAAAGGCTGCTGTCCTCCTTTTATTGATTCCCCACGTGCTTTCTCAGCTTCTGTAACCTGCGTTGATTACTTTCTGGTTAGGGGCACCCTGGCAATACTTTGGCGTTTCACGCACAAGTATTTGAACAAAGACTTGAAAAGATACCCGTTCAGATTAAGATGAATGATGGGAGGAATTATGACTCAGGGCGACTTTTGCATGAAACCAGGATATTTTTTAAAAGGAAGTTCTTTCCTTGCCGCTCACTGACAAGTGAGCAGAAGGGGTTCAGGTGAAATCATCTGGTTTGTAGCTTCCTGAGTCTGGTGGGGGCGGGGAATGACCTCTTCACGAAGAAGCAACGTGTGGGATTTGTTGGAAGCCTTTCCGTTTCTCTTTCTTCTCAAGATTGGAGAGAAAAGCTGCCCCAGCCATTCCAGCAGCAACACACTCTCCAGCGACACCTCTGGCAACAGCGATGACAAGCACTTTGGGTCCGGGGACCTGATGGACCCTGAGTTGCCGGGGCTTACGTACATCAAGGGCGCCTCCACGGACAGTGGCATCGACACGGCCCCATGCATGCCCGCCACGGTCCTCGGCCCCGTGCACCTGGCGGGCAGCAGGTCCCTGGTCCACGGGCAGGCGGAGCAGTGGGCTGACTCGGACATCCCGGGGCCCGATGACGAGCAGGCCAAGATGTACGCGGTCCACGGCTATGCGCCCAGCATCTCCGCCGGCCATGCTGCCGATGGCAGCCTGGGCGACCTCAGCGAGATCTCATCCCACTCCAGGTAAGTCCCCGCGCCGCCACCGGCGTCCGCTCCGGGCACCCTGGGCGCCGTCGCCTGCGCTGGGGTGGGAGAGGGGCCCGAAGTAGGACCAGCAGGCGCCTGAGGTCATTGCCACCTGTGTGCCACGCGGCCTGACTTCAGAGGAAATGCTTGCTTCCAGAGTCTCCTTTGAAATGTGCACACGAATACGTTTGTGATTCTATCTTCCTTTCTCTTGAAAGTTGAGAGAAAACTAAACAGAGATGCTCATGGCCCTTATCAGACCACTCATCTCTCTCTCCCAGTTCAACCTGTGGTCCCTGATTTTCGGGAGACGGCAAGCTGGACAGCGCTCAGGGGATGGTGGGCAGTGACGGGGGGCGGGGGGTGGCCTCTCGTCGTCCCTCCGAAGGCCCGTGCCCCGCTCTGCCCTGGTCCGCGGGCCCCCTCTCACCAGCGTGTGCACCAATGGAAGTATGTTCACAGTGACAGTCCAATTAAAAAAAAGACTGGCTAAATGTAAAGGAATTGTATTCTAACTACGAATGTGCAGTATATAGCTATGAGTAGTTTTAAACTCCTGTTTGACATACGTCTGTACAGAGACTTTAAAACTCATAATTGGTGATTCCTCCCTTCAAAGACCAGGCAGAGAAACGCTTTCATTCAGGTTTGGCCGCGCGTAGAATTTACTGCACACCGACGACCGCTCTCGTTTTCCTTGCTGCCTCCAAGGCCTTCCCTGCTTCAGCTCTGAGTGACTGTCTGACTTTTCCTCAGAACTCTTCTAGCTGCCGGAGGGCAGTCAGATGAACACTGATGGGATTATCCTTCCAGGTCCCTAAGGCCGTGGCAGAGACACTTCTCCAGCGATGGTGCTTGAGGCTGGCCGTGGGGTTCCCAGCGCCGGCCTCTGTTCTCCTCGGCCGCCTTCACCCAGGCCGAGCCCGCTGCCCTCTGACCTTCTGCCCGTCCTCACGCGGCCACTGCCGAGCCGGGGGGGACGAACCGCCGGGCAGAAGGGAGAGTAGCTGTGACCACAGAGCAGACACATGAATCGCTCCGGCTTTCCTCTCAGTCGAGGCCGAGACCTCATCAGCGGTGCCGTTATTTTCATGACTGATGTCATGTGATGTCTGATCTTGTTTGAAAAAACGTTTTAAACTTCTAAGTCCCGGAAAATTACCGTAGATTAATTTTTCTTACACAAACCTAAAACACGAGGGTGCCTGCACACACGTGCTCACTGCCGCCTTTCTGCTTTCCTTCTCCTGTCGCTAACGTCGTCGTCTGTGTCTTACATTTACATCATTTGTGTCATTCGAGGGCATTTATGTGACAAGTTAAAGAAAACTGCACACGAATTAGCTCACACAGCGAAGGTAGTATTTTGGCTTATGGAACCCCACGGGCCAGAACTGTGAAGGTTCTGCTTTGACACAGCAGCTCACATGATGTCACCTGAGACCAGGTCCCCCCGGTCCATGGGCTCGGCAGGACGGCCCTGAAATCTCAGCAGTGAGAATGGCTGTGTCACCTGCTGTGTCACCTGCAGGCCTCCCGTGCTACTGCTCCCCGTCACAGGAAGGAAGTGCGGATCTTTTCAAGTTTCTGCAGACATGCCCCCCTGCCCTGCCACCAGTGTCTCTTCACGTGTTCTTGGCTTTAATCACTGTGCTCTGGGGGACTGGGGGTCAGTCTGCCAAACCACGCAGCTGGAGACTGGGGAAGAGAGCCACTTCCTCGGAAGAAAATCAGAGGGTTGTGTCCCTGGGAGAAGGGGGAGGAGACGCAGACAGGGCGCCCTGAGCACCCACCATAGGCTCTGTCTTCTTCCCCTGGGCAGACGGAGTGCAGGATATGGAACCTATTTCAAAGTAGAGACACCTATTACTTTTGACCAGTTCTCTTTAATAATTTGACTTTAAATAGGTTTAGTACTAACTAAAATAATATTTAAGTGTTATCAGTGGCTTTGGTTACCTGAATTATTCCTGTCTTACTTTCAGAGACAGTTTTGAATTGGCCAGGCTGTAAAAACCATCTTGGGATTTTATAATCTTCTGGTGTCTTGTTCAGAGTGTAGAAGATTTTGTAAAATGGCTGATTTCCTGATACGTCCTTAGAGAGATGTAATTGGCATCACAAACAGAATTTTGTATTACCGTTGAGGAGAATTTCAGTGGAAACCGCTTTCAGAGCACCTTCTTTTATGAATACAGTCAGGATATTTATAGGGATTTGAAGTCAATTTTCTGGAACACCTTAAGCATTCATTAATGTAATGGGTCAGACTCGTAGAAAGCACAGGAAACTGCTAGATTGCGTTTCTGGTCGACGCTCCTTCTTTCCACCCCTTTACGCTGGACATGTGCACAGCGGTTGCAGAAGGGCCATGTGCTGAGTGAGGGGCTCCTTTCCCATCCAGGTGCCTTTTTCTTGCCCTTCTTAGTTGACAGTGACTTTAAAGCCACATTTCAACTCCAGTTGCAGGCTTTTGTGGAATTCATCATTAAAGTAACTCTTTTGAACACTTCCTCCTGTCTGTCCCCTCACCCATATGGGAGAACTAGAGAAAATAAGATTTCAAATATTTTTAAGTTTCTTTTTAATTTTAAAATATTCAAGTATTTTTAAGTGTTTTCTATTAATAGTTTTACATGTAAAATAAGACTTGAAATGTCAGCGTGTTGAGGTAAAAGGCTCATTAGTGCACAAAGGACCCACCTACCACAGTGGTGCCGAGACTCTGCAGATCCCGAAATGCCAGGACCCAGACCGGGACGCACACTCCCTGTGCTGATGAGTACCGTCGGCCTCTGAGTGTGTGGTCAGCTCGGAGCTGAGGCCCACTGCCCAGGGGCTCAGTTGTGACTGGGCGCAGTCCAGGGAACAGGAGAGCAGGAGAGCCTCTTGGGGGCTGGCATCAGCGCCGAGCGTCCTGGCTAGTCACCCCTCCAGCCCACGCACTCCTGTATCCCACCATGTCTTAGCTGCTTCTCAGCGCTCAACCCTGGTTGACACGATTTGTACTCAGTGTGGATCTCACCCCAGGCTGCTGCCTCCTCTCATCTAGAGAGCCTGGGCCTGTCTGCTTCACTCCGTAGCCACAGCACTTGGTACCTACAGGTCCTTGAGCTTGACAAGCATTGGAATGTTTGTTGAGTGAAGGAGGGACGTCTAAGGAGGCTGTTGATAAATGCTTCTTGATTGAGTTAGTAACCCAGTGCCTTGGGTCGCCTAAGGAAACAGGAGGCACCAGGGTCGGCTGTTCGCAGCTCCCAGACCATCTACGACACACGCTTAATACTCTGATTCTGGTTTTCCACCACCAGCATCACTGCCACCCCCACCAGCTCCGCCACACACGCGCGCGTTCCCAACAGCCATCCAGGAGTAGAGCAAGCGTCCATTATGTATGTGGTGCGATTCCGGGATTGCACTGAGAACTGGGAACGGGAACTTACGACCCCTGAAGACAAGCCGCACTGGTGCGAGGCGAGAACGGGGCTGGAGGGAGGGGTGTGCAGGAATCACCACCCGTTAAGACGGCGCCCCTGCCGCTCCATGCTTTTAATTCAGCGAACCCGTTTTGGTTGGTTGGTTGTTTTCTTTTTCCCCTACGAGGGCAGGGCACTTAGATAAGAGCTCAGAATACAAAGCAGTATTCATAGGAGGCTAACCAAGCTTTTGCAAAGTGAAACAAGTCAACTGCCAAAAAAACAAAGCAGAAAAACCCATGTTCTGGCTTCTCCTGTAAATGGCTCATGTGATTATCTGGTGTTTGCACTTATTCATGTCATCATACTCTACTCTTTGTAAAGGATTGAGAGTTGGCAGTGAAACTCTAAAATAAGAACGTGAGTCTAGAAGGAAAGGATTCATGAAAACCTTATTGCCAACATTCTAGAATGTTCATCTGCTTCAGAGGAAACCTTTAGAGCCACGTTACTGCTGCTAGACACGGGTTTTTGCCACGTTGCTCGTGAAATGGATTCCATGCATTTGTTCTTAGAGTTTAACTTTAAAATATTTTACTCCTGGGGTCAAAGACGTTTTTAATCAAGCTTGAATGAGGAAAATGGAAAAGCACATCGGGCTTGTGACCATTGCCCCAGGTGCTGGTAACACTGGACTCTCATCATAAGAGGCTCCCATTTTTGCCAGTCTGGTGAGCGTGCCCTGATATCCTGCAGTGGTTTGCACTGGTTTCCTTGGGGATGGCGGAGGTTGAGCCCTTCCTCTTATGTTTATTCACCATTTGAGTTTCTTTTCTTCTGAGGCATCACTGTGGTGCCCATTTTTCTATTAGATTTCCCCTGACTGGGCTTTGAACGTCCTTCTGGCCACAGGCATACAGCTTTGCACATGAACACCCTTGGCCTGTGGGAAGCAGGGCATTCCAAAGGCACGTGGCAGAGAGGCGGCCACATCTGCCCCCCGCTGCCCGATTTTGCTCAAGAGAAGGACCTGAGTCGTGCGTGGTGGCTCTGAGTTTGGCAACGTGCCCGCACCGCTGAGATCTGATTGTATCGCAGCTTCTGTCTTTTTCTCCCCAGTGGTTCACGCCATTCAGGAAGCCCCTCAGCTCACGGTTCCAAAATTAGTGGGTCTCTGGATACGTCCAAAGTGTACATCGTGTCTCACAGCAGCAGTCAACAGGCCCCGGGGTCCGTGTCCAAGGCCTACCACCGGCAAGGGGCCATGAACAAATATGTCATCGGCTGGAAGAAATCGGAAGACAGCCCGCCACCCGAGGAACCCGAAGTGGCTGAGTGTCAGGGGTAAGGTGTCCGGGGGGCTCTTCTCTAGGCAAACCTTGGGCATCTGGGGCATGGACCAAGCTAATGTATTTTTCCCCCCAGTAGAAACAGATTTTCTAAAAAAGAGTAATCGAGAAACATCTTGGTAAAGCTCTTTAAATGTTGGCATTTATATTTCTCTTTAAAAGTCTTCCCTTTCTTTGATGTTCTCATATAAAATTAAAACAAATTTCTTTTTTTTTATATAAATTTCTTTATTTTATTTATTTTTGGCTGCATTGGGTCGTTGCTGCACGCGGGCTTTCTCTAGATGTGGCGAGCAGGGGCTACTCTTTGTTGCAGTGCGCGGGCTTCTCATTGCAGTGGCTTCTCTTGTCATGGAGCACGGGCTCTAGGCACACGGGCTTTAGTAGTTGTGGCTCGTGGGCTCAGTAGTTGTGGCTCGTGGGCTCTAGAGCACAGGCTCCGTAGTTGTGGCGCACGGGCTTAGTTGCTCTGCGGCATGTGGGATCTTCCCGGACCTGGGCTCGAACCTGTGTCCCCTGCGTTGGCAGGCAGATTCTTAACCACTGCGCCACCAGCGAAGTCCCTAAAACAAATTTCTGTTCCTTGCTTTTATATTCACGTACCATGTCCTCCTCACCTCTGTACGTCCTCGTGACACACGTAGCAGACACTCAGAGCATAGTTATTGACGTATCATTTGTCAATTTTAATAAAGTCTCTAAGTTAGCAGGAAAAAAGGCTAGCAATTTTTACTTAAACACATAGGGAACTGGAATAGTGCATTTTATTAGTGATTTTCGGTGTTACCTTATTATCCCAGCAGTTACTGATGAGACCTGGGTTTGTTTTTTTCTTCCCTACGTCTTTCCCAAAGCAGATAGGGCCTGGAGCTCTTGAGCACGTCTACCCCCGAATCTCAGGGCCCACAGCTGGGCACGTGTGACGGCCTCGTCACAAACCCTCCATGGTGTGTCTTCCCACGGGGGTTCCGTGCAGAGCCCCCATCCCCCGGGTCTTGGGTTCTTTTTTAGCTCCCAAGCCAACCACATCTTCAGTCACATTTAAAAGTTTTGAAAGCTTCTTCCCCAGTCACTGCTTTCATGTCGTCAGCGCTGCTGCTGCTTACAGAGCCGAAAAGTTCGGGAAACCTGACCTACCTCAGGAACAAAGCAAGAGACGTAGCGAGTTCCGATAAATCGTTCTTAATTTTGAGCATGTTCATGTGAGTTTCATATCCTGATAATTCCCCAGTGAGCCGTCACCCTGCAACACAGTAGCCTGGCTTTGGAGATGGGGTCATCTCGGTGATGCAGGACAGTCACACACAGGTCATCCTCAGCAAGCTGCCGCCCTGGGCCGTGGTTCCTGGAGCATCACGTTTCAGGTCGTGCGGCCCGTCCGCCTCGGCTGACAGTACAGCCCCTGGTTCCTCACCCACCGTGTCTTCAGGAACGTTCCGTGGCTCAGATTACATTTGCAGACCAAACCTTTTAAAAACGACTCCCCAGTTTTCTCCCTGGAAAAGAGCTGAAAACAGTAATTCGGCTAGACAGTCTTTTGTTGTCCATAAATACATTTCTATATACTGATAATCAAGGGGGACAGCTGCTTCATTTATGCAAACGGCTTTGCGAAATGGCTGATGATAAAAATGCTTGGCATGCACCCGGATGGATTACTGTTCAACATCAGGTTCCCCGGGGTCTGGCTCTCCGTGTTGCAGGGTGGACGGTGCGTGGGGTTGCCCAGCCACAAGAGAAGGGCTTTCTCAAATTCCGGGCAGGCACCAGGCTTCCTTCAAAGAACACGAGATAATCTCCGATGAATTATTGAAACTGTGTTTTCTGACACAGGTTAGGCAAGGGAAGACACAGCCTTATTTGAAAAGTTGGCTCTATGTTTTTCTCATTCAGGGCTTTGGGGATCTGATTTGTTCTGCATTATTCAGAAACCTAAGTTTGCACTCATTTCACAAACGTAGGATGGCACGGGGATCTGGGAGAAATGCAGCAGAAGTGAGTCAGCGAGTTTCTGTGTGTATGAACGTGGTGGGTGAAGCTGGTGACTGGATTTTAATTCATAAGGCTGCTGGCGTTTTACAGATAGGCTGATGACTCACCTTCATTTTCCTTCTGCCTTGTGTCACCAGGCTGTATGGTGAGATGGGTCTCCTGTCCACCGCAGCTCAGCAGCAGGCAGTGGTGGGAGATGATGTCTCAGAAACTCAGCACGTGCTCTCCAAAGAAGACTTTCTGAAATTGATGCTTCCCGACAGCCCCTCAGCGGAGGAGGGGAGGAGAAAGGTTAGTGACTTTTGTGTAGCTTTGAAGTGACCGGAAACACTAAGGAAAAGCGTAAAGAGACGCCAGGGCTTCCAGAGTTCTCCCACATGTGGCCTCTCTCGTGATCCTACCTACAGCTCTGTGCCCGGTTGGCCATTTTCACTGTTATTCCCCCAGGAAGCAGAGTGAGCCTGGGAGAGGTCACGAAGGGCAGCTTTCTAGACGGACAGAGGAAGCTAGAGGCAGGCGGGCCTGGCCTCAGTTCTCGGCTGCAGTGACCATCGGCCGTGTGATCTTGTTCATGTGACTTAATCTCTTGGCCCAGCGTCGTCCTCTGAAAAAAGGAAGCAATGATAAATGTATACAGAGTTACAGCCAAGATAAGAACCAACTTCACAGAGGACCCGGATATAACAGGTCATCAGAAATAGTAGCTGTTAAAATTCACACCGCCTGGCTTTTGCTCCGGAACTTGTACCAAGGATAGAGTTCTCCAAGCCATCCTGCTTGGGTGTAATCCTGTTCCAGAAATGGGCTGGACTTAGGTACTGTACCGCCTGGCATCGTAAATCAGATGGCACCTGCCCCGTGCTTGTAAACCGTGCCCACCCACAAGGAAAGGCCACGCGTCAGTCTCACAAACCAACCTCACGTTCGAGGGCACAGCTTCATGACCAGGGCGCAGACCCTCGCTACCGTTAGATGACTTTACTGTCCTTATTAGTTTTAGTTTTATTATGTGTTATTACAGTCTCTTAAACCACTTTGTTAAGTAATGGAAAGTGAAAAAGGACTCCCAGGTAATCCAGCCCAATCTCCTCTTCTGGCAAGTAACTGAGGCCCCAACTGATGAAGTGTGACGTTCGCATAAATACTTGGGGGCAGAGTCAGCCGTGGAATGCAGGCCTTTCTCCCTTCTAATTCAGCGCTCTCTTGTCCAAATGAAAAGAAAAAAGTCAGGCATGGCCATCTTGACTGTGATCAAGATAAACGGCAAGGCTTTGTGCTACTGTCTTCCCTATAATAAAACGATGCTGCAATTAACCTAATTGTGTTCTTAGAATAACACTCTCATGAGATACTACCTCAAAGCCGCTTTAATCTAATGGGCCTGTAATCATGTTCTGAAGAGCCTGCTGGTTGTGTGTGAAGAGGGAATCTCGGAAGAGCTCAACAGAATGAGTCCTTTTTTTTTTCTTTAACTCGTATCAAATCATGTATATGGTACCGTATAAGCTTGGGTGGGGGCTATTGTACCGAAAGTGCAAATAGCTTTTCTTTTAATAGGAACAACCTTCTCCTTGACATGTGTTTTTTTTTTTTCTTCTAAGACAAATCGCCTTCTTTTCGTAGTGCAAACGTAACTTTGCAGTTCGCACACACTCTGGTTCCCATTCATCAGCTGGACAGACTTGACAGGATGAAAGGGACACATAAAATAGAAACACTTTACATTCACAAACGTAAATAACCGTTTCTGTATTTGCTTGATGCAAACGTTCTGGCTTTTACTATTATTGATGTAAAAGGAACGTGGTTCAGGATATAGAAGAAGTTGGAAATTCAGATTTGATTTAATTTTTCTTGAGTTTTTGACTACTTGCTTCTTTAGTATGAACTTTCCCTACCCTATCTGTGATTTAACACAATAATTTTAATGGTTTCTTTAAACCTGGTTACGATTGATTACTATAACTCAATTCTCAACAACTGTACTAGACTTCTGTGAGTGAAACTTTAAAGTGTGTAGACAGTAAGACTTTCCTGGACCAATACTGTCTTTCTTGAACCTGTGTGTGGCTTAGAAAGCTGCAGTGCTCAAAAATTAATATTATTATTATGACCTAGATTAGATTGAACCTCGCATGTAGTTGATTGGTACAGAAATCACCTAATATTAAAATGTAGTCATTTCCGATGAACATCAAGCCAGCACTAGATGTGGTTTTGAATAACCGTTGCCTGAAATGGCAGCGTTCTGTATTTCCAGAAGCTGCCACAGCTAAAAGGTTATGGAACCTCCATTTAACATTTCAGAACAGAGCTGTGCCTGTCTAATTCGTGGTGATATTTCACAGAACGTCCAAGGAGGAAAAGAGCCAAACCCAGGAACTGCAGGAAGCCCTTGTGCTTTGCCTCGGTGACCTGCGTGCCTGGCTGTAGCATCCCTAGGCTGCGGCTTTGCGCGCACCTGCTGCTCCGAGATGCTCCCACGGTGGTCCGGGAGCCCCCCTAAGGCTGTCAGATGAGTTTCACGCTGTCAGCTTTCTGACATCTGTTTTCCCTTCCCTCCTCCTGTCTCAACCCCTAGTTTTCGTTCTATGGGAACCTGTCCCCGCGCCGCTCGCTGTACCGCACGCTCTCGGACGAGAGCATTTGCAGCCATCGCAGGGGGTCTTCCTTCGGAAGCTCCCGAAGTTCCATCCTTGACCAGGCCCTGCCCAGCGACATCCTGTTCAGCACCACCCCGCCCTACCACAGCACCCTGCCACCCCGGACCCAGCCGGCGCCCAGCATGGGAAGCCTGCGGAGTAAGTGCCCGGGGTGGCCCGAGCTGTCCTCGTGGGCTCTCTGGGGTGGGTCTCCTACGGGGGTTGGAGGGACTTGTTTATTCTTTAAACTATGTATCATTTGGTGGTGCGTTTTCTCTCTTAGTGATTTTTGAAGGTGGTAAAAGCCCCAAAGTGGACATTTTTTAAAAGCTGAACACTACTGCCAATTTTTCAGAAAATCTTAAAACCCGTATTAAACGTTTTTAGCAGGTGAAATAGTGACCTTTATACTCAGCTCAGCTGTTACATCCGTAAAGAAAGAAGTGTCTAAACCTGATAAAGAGAAAAGGGCGCCACGGTGGTAGATTTTCCGGTGGGCAGCACGCGGGGAGGAAGGTTGCTTTTCTTGCCTCCTGTGTCTGTTTCTTCTTGATCTTACAGATCTGGTGAAGGCGAAGGTGGCAGGTGGGCATCGGGACACCTGGGTCCCAGCCCTGGCTCTTCCCACGTGGTACCATGTCCCATCACTTAGATTCTGTGTCCAGTTCACTCCAATTTATTGGCCACAGGTTGACTAGATCATTTCCAGATGATTTTCCTTCAAATCCTAAAATCTTTCCTTTTTACATGGTGTTAGTTTCCTATTAACATGTGGGTGTTGAAGGGTGATTTTTTTTTAACATTAGTTAGCTTTATTTCCTTTTTTCATAGTTAATTTCTATTGTACAGGAAGAATGAGGATTAAATCAGAAATATGTTCCTTGTCAGGGTTTTCTTAAATTTCATGGTAGAAAGCATTACCTTTAGAACCAATTTGAACTTCATAATACACATATAAGTCCCAGGCTGAATGAAATAAAAGTTCTAATAATCTTTCTAATGTTTAACATAATTGGAAATGAACCTTGTCTCATAAAATTCTTAATCCATTTCTTTTTTTTTTTTGCGGTACGCGGGCCTCTCATTGTTGTGGCCTCTCCCGTTGCGGAGCACAGGCTCCGGACGCGCAGGCCCAGCAGCCATGGCTCACGGGCCCAGCCGCTCCGCGGCATGTAGGGATCTTCCCGGACCGGGGCACGAACCCACGTCTCCTGCATCGGCAGGCGGACTCCCAACCACTGCGCCACCAGGGAAGCCCATCTATTTCTTTAAGTAACATAATATCCTGCCTGTTATGAAAAGTCCATTTGCCTAAATTGGAGAAATACTCCCTCTTGATAAAGGTATGAAGGTCAGACAGACATATTCTAATACCCTAATATTTCTCCAAATGTTTGTCCTTTTTTGTAAATAGGTAACTTTAATGGCCTCTTAAAGCTTTCCTAAAACCAGTAAAACTCTATTTTCTTGCAGATGTCATATCTTCCACTTAAAAATGCTTGAGGTATGATCGTGAAATCTACAGTATAGACGTTACGGTAGTTCTTACATTCTACCTTTCATTTGCTTCCATGTGGAAGACGCACAATTGACCCTTGAACAACAGGGATTTGAACTGTGCAGATCGACTTACACACAGGTTTTTTTCCATGTAAATATCACGGTACTACATGCTCCACGGTTGGTTGGATCAGGGGATGTGGCACCTCGGATACGGGGGCCAACCGTAAAGTACATGCAGATTTTCCACTGTGTGGGTGGTCCACGCCCCTAACAGCCACGTTGCTTAAGGGTAAACTCTCTATCCTTTTTTTAGCTTCACTTTTTTTTTCTTAATAAACATCATTTACTTAGAGCAGTCTTAGGTTCCCAGCAAAAGTGAGCAGAAGGTATGCAGACTTCCCGGGTACACACCCACTGCCCCTGCAGGTGCTCAGTCTGCCCCCGACCACAGGGAACACTTGTTAGAGGATACTAACACATCTTCATCACCCAAAGTGCGTAGTTTGCGTTGGGGTTCACCCCCCCGGCCGTCGTACATTCTATGTGTTTGGGCAAATGCATGGTGACGTACCTACCATTGTAGTATTTTACAGAGTATTTTCATCTCCCTAAAGAGCCTCTGTGCCCCACCTGTTCATCCCTGTCTGCCCCTCACCCCTGGTAAATCAGTGGTTCTTTTTTTACTGTCTCCATAGTGTTGTCCTTTCCAGGTGTCATATAGTTGGAGTCATACAGGGTGTAGCCTTTCCAGAAATACATTTAATTTTCCTCCAAGGCTTGATAGCTCACTTCTTTTTAGTGTTGACTTCTGTTCTATTGTCTGGGTATGCCGAGTTACCCTTTTTTAAATATTTATTTATTTATTTATCTTTGGCTGCGTCGGGTCTTCGTTGCTGCGCGCGGGCTTTCTCTAGTTGCGGTGAGCAGGGGCTACTCTTCATTGCAGTGCGCGGGCTTCTCATTGCAGTGGCTTCTCTTGTTGTGGAGCACGGGCTCTAGGCACTCAGGCTTCAGTAGCTGTGGAACACAGGCTCAGTAGTTGTGGCTCGCGGGCTCTAGAGCGCAGGCTCAGTAGTTTTGGCACCCGGGCTTAGTTGCTCCGCGGCATGCGGGATCTTCCCGGACAAGGGCTCGAACCCGTGTCCCCTGCATCGGCAGGCGGATTCTTAACCACTGCGCCACCAGGGACGTCCCTGTGTCCTTGCTTAGTATGTTCAGAGGTACAATGGAAACAGGCAGGATACACTCTCCACTATCCGGGTTAAAAACTGCCTGACTTGCCTTCATTGTCTCTTCTCCTGGGAAAAGCAGTAAGAGTGGTCCTTGCTGTTTGTGCTTCTCAGATGAAACCTTCTTATTTGGCCACGTGACTCCTCCAATTTCTAAACTTCACAACCTACTCAGAAAAAAAAATTCTCTAGGTTTGGTGGATCAAGTGACAAAATATAAATAAGGGAGCTGGGAGTAATTTGAATTAATGCGTCTCCCCCAAGACACTTCTGATTCCCTCCTCCCTCCCCACCAAGGGGCTCAACTGTAAGGATCTGGTTGTCCCTGGGAGGATGCTCGCCCCTGGGACCCCTGACGCCCACACTTACCTGTGTGGTTATTCCTGTATCTGCTCAAGGCAGATTTCAGTCATCTTTTGCTTTCTGTGGTTTCTGGTCACTCAGCAGAGCCCCTGTGAGCAGATCTCGCTCGGAGAGTAGCTGCAACAGTCTGACCCTGGAACAAGCCAGAGAGTTGACAGGTGGGAGCTTGTGGCCAGCAGATGCCCGCGAGCGAGAAATGAGGACTATTTGGGGTCGCCCAGGGGTTTCTCTTAGTTTCTCAGAGACTTAGCTTCACGAGAACTTGCAGTGGCAGTTAGGTTAGTTCTGCCAGAGCGTGTAACCCTGGATGGTTCGTTAGCTACAGAGGTTGAGCAAGGATATGCTGAGGCACACGTATCCTCCTAAAGTTTCCCAGGAAGCATCTGACCTTCCGCTCATAGACACTCATTTGGATCTTGTTCCTAATCTGCAGCAAGGACAGCACAGGGGAGGGTTGGCAAGTCCATCTCTTCACAGTGAGCCTCTGGAGACCTCATCGCCACACCTTTTCTCCATGTAATTATCAGTCACAGGCTGCTCGTTCAGACAGTTTTAGCTTTTCGAAGTCTCAAACTTGGGCCCATCTCAGAATCTCTCTTCTCCTGAGACCAGGATCTTAATCCAGCCTTGGAAGACAGATGACACTTAACAAACACATTTTAGATGTGACTCACGTCGTGATTCATATATATTTCCTGGGGGCGGTTTGGGGATCCCTGAAAGTGCTGTATCATTATGTCTTCAACTTGGAGGTATAAAAATAAGACCAGCTCGAACAATTGAAACAATTCTGAGATCTTTCTGCCTTGCATTTAGGGCCTTTGTTTCCATCATTGGTGGATTTCAGAGTAAAATTTCTTTTGAGGCCCAGGTAGAAAAAAAGAATAGGGAGTGGCCATTTTGACACACAGTTCACAGGCCCGAAAACCAGTGATATTGAAAAGCTCTCATAGTATCCTTGTCTGCTTGGGCGTGGGGTTACCTGGCTTTGTTCAGTGCAGTCACAAGCATTCGCAGGTTTAAAGCATGTTTAAAGAGAATTACTGATTTTTTATGAAATGGAGTTTTATGAAACACTCCAAGGAATGGTAGAAATCTTCCTATGTGGGTAGACTTTTAGAACAAGAGTTCTTAAATTTTGAAAAATAAAACAGGGTATTAGGACTACCCTGGTGGTGGCAGTGGTTAAGAATCCGCCTGCCAGTGCAGAGGACACGGGTTCGAGCCCTGATCCAGGAAGATCCCGCATGCCGTGGAATAACTAAGCCCGCGAGCCACAACTACTGAGCCCACGTGCCACAACTTCTGAAGCCCACGCGCCTAGAGAGAAAGCCCGCGCACAGCGATGAAGACCCAACGCAACCAAAAATAAATAATAAAAGAAAATTAATTAATTAAAAATGCCCAACAAGGTGTTAGGTTCTATATGTTCCCAAATCCTATAGTTGTGACCTAGGCCCCCCGCAAAGGATGCTCCTTGAAGTTTAAAAGCGAGTTTTAGCAGAAATAAAAGAAATTAGTGTTTTCCTTATAATTTAGTACCCACCCAAGATGCCACAGACCCCAGGTGCAGACGTAGTGGTGTGCAGCCTGCAGAAGAGTTGCCCTTGCTTCCGCCGGCCTCGCAGACAGCATCCGTGGCCGTCGGAGGAAGAGCATATTCTCCGACTCTATGCGGCACTTCTTTCTCTTTTTTTCAAATGTTCTCAGTCTCCTCTGTAATAAACATCCCTTGGTTTCTGGAGAGTAATTGTGAAACCACAGCTATCTGACCACCAGGAAATGCTAACAGGAAGGCTCGTCCGCATTTAGAACAACAGCGAGAAAGTCAGACTCAATAAAGCTGGTCCCCGCGATTTCAGGGTCGGGATAAACAAACAGGAAGCCCCAAGATCGATGTCCAGGCCAGAGAGCAGAGACCCCGGCAGCGGTGCCTGGACACCGGCTGCCCTTCAGAAGCCGCGAGTCGCTTTCTTTCCTGGGTTGGCCGGAGGAGCAGCGTGGGCTCTGGAACAGCAGTGGCTCGAGAGGACTGGCCTTGAAATAACAGGCTCTGGTACCTAAGTCGCGCCTTTTCCTCCCCATCTGGAAAGCTCAGGGAACAGCCCAGTTACAGCTGCTGTGGTCACGCCAAGTGCAGGGGCTGGTTCCTGTACGTACTTTCCCAGACCCCAGAGCGGCACCAGCAGGAATCACCTGCTCCTGTCGGCCCCTCAAGGGCAGAACCTGCGCCTGTGGTCATCCCATCCCCAGGTACCGATACGGTACCTGGTGGGACCCAGAATACAGCAGGTGCAGGGTAAACGTCAGCTGGGTGAGACCTAATGTCAGTTATAAGTATTATAAAGAATTTTTGGTGGTTTGGAGTCTTGGACCCCAAAATTTAAAAAAACGTAATTTTTTTTCCCGATTATACGATTTTCCAAGCATTGCAAAAATTTTAGGTGCTTTTTAAAAAAAAAATTTATTTTTTAATTTTTTTTTTTTTACAGTAGGTCCTTGTTGATTATTTATTTTAAATATAGCAGTGTGTACGGTGCTTTTCATTTTGATAATTCAGAGAGAAACTTAGGGGAATTCCCTGATGGTCCAGTGGTTAGGACTCTGCTCTCTCACTGCCGAGGGCCCAGGTTCCATCCCTGGTCAGGGAACTAAGGTCCCGCAAACTGCACGGTGCAGTCAAAAAAAACAATACAGAGAGGAACTTAGGCGGCTCCTACTTCATTTCAGGTGACACTCCCTGGGGCTGCCCTGGTGGCGCAGTGGTTCAGAGTCCGCCTGCCGATGCAGGGGACACGGGTTCGTGCCCCGGTCCGGGAAGATCCCACATGCCGCGGAGCGGCTGGGCCCGTGAGCCATGGCCGCTGAGCCTGCGCGTCCGGAGCCTGTGCTCCGCAGCGGGAGAGGCCACAACAGTGAGAGGCTCGCGTACCACAAAAAAAAAAAAATATATATATATATATATATATATATAGTGACACTCCTTGACACTGGTGTCGTCCTGCTTACTGAGCAACAATGCATTTGGACCTCAATCCGTGCTGTCTCGGAGCTCTCCTCCCGGAACTCCTCTTCCCCAGGCAGCTGCTGCTGGGCTATGTCTTGGTGACTGTCACCTCCTTGGACAGGCCTCCCTCCAACATGGCGCGGCTTGTATGATCGTGTTCATTTGTTTCTTCCCTCTCCCCGTGTCACTTGCCGTGTAAGCTCTGTGGGAGGGTGGCCTTGCCTGTCTTCCCCACTGCTCCACCCCATCCTTAGGCATACAGTAGGCATTTAACAAACACAGCGTAGATGGTGGAGTGGATAGTACTCCAAATAAACTCTTGAGGGAGGGAATCTTCTCCAATTTACTAAGCATCTTTGCCAGTTCTGTAGTGTCAAATAAACACGCAAGTCCCATTGACAACTCGGGGAGAGGAGTGACTGTTTACAGTAAAGAAGAAATATCCCTCCTTTTCCTTCCTGGTTCTCCATAGAAGTTGGAGGAGGTTAGAAGGATGCCCTGGGTTTGCCTCTGACTGTGACACACCCCTGCTCTGTGGGTCGCTAGGCCCACTCACTCCACATACACTCACTCTGGGCAGGAGCTTCCCGGCCACCAAACTTCAGGTTGGTCCCACACAGAGTGAGAGCTCCGATTTTTTTTTTTTTTTTTTTTTTGCGGTACATGGGCCTCTCACTGCTGTGGCCTCTCCCGTTGCGGAGCACAGGCTCCAGATGTGCAGGCTCAGCGGCCACGGCTCACGGGCCCAGCTGCTCTGTGGCACGTGGGATCCTCCCGGACCAGGGCACGAACCCGTGTTCCCTGCATCAGCAGGCAGACTCTCAACCCCTGCGCCACCAGGGAAGCCCGAGAGCTCCGATCTTTAACCCAAGATGGTCAGGGCTCCTTTGTCAGTCCCCCGTTGGGTGTTTGGGGAAGATGCTCTTTGAGCTCACGAACGCAGGAGGGACAGGAAGAGGGGACAAGGGGCTGTAGCCCAGCCCTCCTCTCTCGCTGCCTCCTCCCCTCTTGCCCTCTATTATTTTGCTGTCTGCCTTGACTCCTGTTAGAGCCAGTCAGGGCGTCGTCTGCTGGTGCTGGGGAGAAAGCAGACGGCGCACAGAATGCGTACCGGGTTTGATTTTGGGCGACACCAGAAGCTCAGGTGAAGGGTTATTTCTTTATAAAGGCAAAGAAAATCCTCAGGTTCACATTTCTTAGCGATACATGACCAAGAGACTGTACTTTCGGTAAAAATGTTCATTCAGCTGAACAATTTTTCACTCCATGCTGTTTTCCTCTCCAGTGAGGGAAGGAGAGGCAGGGGGTGAGGGACGTGCCCCATGCACACCGGCTTCCAGCTGGCCCGGGGCACCCTTCCCAGAGCTGCGACACGCACACCCCTATTCCTGACCAACTCAGCCGCAGGGAAATCAGTGGCAAAAGTAATTCCCACCTAGTCAAATAGTTTCTTTTCACTTGGTGCAGAAAACCTGCTTTAAGCAAAGCAGCTGATGTGTTTGAGAGACGGGAAGTGATTGAGGGTCCCTGGGCTTCCTGACCTTTCTCTCTGGGGCGGGGCGGGGGTGGTTGAACCTTAAATTCTGGGTGAAGACGGGACCTGGGCGGGGTCAGCCCAGCCTCTGCCCTTCGGTGCCTCCCTGGGTTCAGAGGGGTCCATCAGGAGAGAAGCAGACAAGGACAGAGGACATCACACATAGAACACGCTGGAGCACTTGGAGAGGGAGGGTGGTGGGAACGGCGTTGATAAAATACCCGTTACTGGTTTCCCTTCAAGATGGAGGGGGCGACGGTTCCACCTTTAAGCAGGTTAATGTTAAAAACAGAGTGGCTTCATCGTTAGCTCTAGCCGCTGTTAGACGTAGGCTAAGAGCTACATGTGGAAGGTGCTGGGAAACAGAGCATTAGGGTCCTTCAAGGCCAGATCACAGGCATCCTCTGTCCTGGTCCAGGTGCGAGCATTTCACAGTTTCCCCAAAGGATGTGGGCGCTAAAATTACAGGTGCACTTGGTTAATTACATCCCCTCCTTAATTGCGGGCTCAGACGGCCAGGTGGTCATTATTTTGATTGGTCTAATTAGTCAGATGTGTCCGCGAGCAGCTGCATACCACATTCTGGGCAGGGCCAGGAGAGGCACCTTAGAGAAGGTCCAGCCTTTGGGAAATTTGTCCACAGATGCATAATGAGTTCCTAACAACCAGTATGGCTAGTGACGAAAACGCTTCAAGTCCTGTGATGAGAGTTTAAAGAGAAGAAATGTAAAAGGTCTGTTTGCACAGAGAAAGGAAGACTAGCAAACATTCGGTGCCAGTTAGGGAGAGGGGTTTGGTTTAGCCAGTGATCGAGCTGCCTCATTAAGTCAAAAGTCATCCCACCACCATTTTTGTACGTAGCGAAATGTACAGAAGAGACCGCACCCAACCGTGTTTACAGTAGAGGCTTCAGCGCTCTTCCCACAGGGGGAGGTCACCCCAAGGGAAACAGGAAGAGATCCTGAGGGTGGTTGGACTGGGGTGGTGTCCTCGGGAGAAGCCCACCCGGGAGAAGCTCACCTCTGCTTTTCTGATTCGTGGGAAGGCTCAGTCCAGATCTTGCTCCCGGCCCCTGCCGGCTGGCGACCTCTCAGTGAGCCTGGAGGTCGCGGCTTTTTCACAACCCCCTCCTCTCGAGCGCTGTGTCTCTTGGGTGACTGCGGTGGGATGTCTGTTTCTTTACTGGGACAGGAGATCTTTTACAGAAAGCTCCCTGGGCCCCTCTGAGGGCCCGGCCGGTACCCGTGCTGTGTGATCTGACTGACACTCTGGTTTTGTTTCTGTCTAGATGAGTTCTGGTTCTCCGATGGGTCCTTATCAGATAAGTCCAAGTGCGCAGATCCCGGCCTGATGCCCCTCCCGGACACGGCCACGGGGTTAGATTGGTCCCACCTCGTGGATGCTGCCCGGGCGTTTGAAGGTAACGACTCACAGCCTCTGGGGCCGGGGCAGCAACACAGGGATCGTCCGGGTTAACGTCTGGATGCTCTGAGCATCTTCCAAGAGGAAAACCAGGGGATGGCTTGGGCTGAGCCTGAGGGCCTTTCCTTAGGGAGAACCAGGCACGCAGGGAAGTAGCACCGGGCAAAGGGCCCCAAACCTGCTTCCAGGTCAGGCGCCAGCTGTGACCTGGCAGGTGTCACTTGTCCTCTGACACCTGTGTTTTCTTACCTGGAATGTAGAGGTGGGGATCTAGGACACAGACTCTGTCTTTCCTCCCAGCGTGACGAGGTGAGACAGGAGGAGAAAGCCTTTCAGAGGTCCAAGCCACCCGGACAAGCACAGGCCTAGGCCTCTGGTGGCTTGGGGTCCCTGCAGACTCTGATGTGGCCTCCTTGACCCAGCGGGTCACCTGGCACGGGCCCCGGCTTCCTCCTCTAACCATGTGGTCAGGATGGCGTTGGGCTGGCTGATCTCTGGGGCCCTCTGGCTGTCACACTGCCCTCCACGATCTCTGGAGAATGTTTCTGTGAATTTAGGAGGGGAAGCTGCACCTTTTCTCCAGGCTGCAGGTAAAGGGGGCCACGGACAAGGGAGGTGCTTGCCTCCCAGGCACCCTCTGCACCTTACGCGTGGGTCCAGGGACCCCGGCGACCCGGATTCAGACTTTCTGCCATTTGTTGCTACATTCTCTCCATGACCACAGCCTCTGCACCTGGGTGACCTGTCTGAGACTCCCCTGTGTGTCTGCGTCTTCACTGCTGCCCCCCAGGGATGGCCACGGCCACCTGAGTGGCCCTTTTCTCTCCCTCTCCTTTGACTCACCTGCTCTGGTCATCGGTTCCCGTCACCTGTGACGTGCAGGCTTCAGGAAAGGGATTCGGATTCCTTTCCCAGGAGGGGCAGGCGCACTTTGCAGTCAGGCTGCTGCAGGCTGTGGAGGCCAGCTGCCCTGACTGCCTGTCTAGCGAGCTGCCCTGCTAGGCCGTTTCTCTCATCAGTTGGGATCAGTGCCTGGTCCTAGGCACCATTTGGGGGGGAGTCTAGGGGAGGGGTGAGTCGAAAGCTCCTCTCAAGCTAATTCAGGGACACGTTAATTCAGTACAGGGACGTTTAGCTCTGGTAGATGGGGGGCGGGGAAAGTGTTGGGAAGAAACTCCTGCAACAGGCACGGGCTGTTTCTGCTCCCTTACTAGACAGAGTACAACGGTTTGGGGTTTGCTGCTTTACAGTACTCGTCCCGTGTGGAAACTTGAGAATGCCCCCGTCTGCTTGGTAACGCAGCCTTCATTCCTCTCAACCAGAAGATGGTTAGGGTGCGTTATAACAGCCCTCCGAACACTGGCCCGACGTGACCGAGCCCCAGAGGGCATGAACACAGTCTCCCCTCTGTCCAGAGCGGCCCAGGCAAGACGGAGCAGCATTGTCTCTGGCCTGTTCCATGCACACTGTTGTCTTACTGCCCGAGGAGAGTGTAAGAACTTCCATTCCGTCTTCTCCGTTCCCCCACTGCGTAGATATTAGTGTAGTGCTTACCACACTGAATTCTGCATATTCACCTCTCTGTCTCTTCCTATTAGATGATGAGTTTCTCAAGGGAAGCCTGCTTCTTCAATTTGTCTTATCTCTATTGAGCAAGTGCAGATCAAGATTAACCGAATGAGGAGAGCTCGTACAAAGGAGCCAGTAGGTCCAGAATGCACAGGGCCCTGTGCACCCTTGGGCTATCTCAGCTCATAGCATAATTTGTAACCTCTGAGGTCCTTCTGCGTTTTGTGTCCATTTTTCTGATTTAAAACAACACATATCCCTTTGTCTCCACCCTCATTTGTGTCTTTGCCTGGCTCCCTTCCACCCCTTCCGAATAAAATCGCTGCTGTGAAGTGGAGTTTTTCAGGGAGCTGGGCTGCAGGTGGGAGGGCGAGAAAGCAAAGTGGTGCAGACAGCAGTGACTGAATTGTCCATCCTGGGGGGCTGTGGTTGTGATCGCAGCCCTACGGCTGGGCTGCTGGCCTTTGGACAAGTAATTTAGCTACACGCCTTGTGCCGACACTGAGTGTTGGACACCAGTCCTCTAAGGTACATGCTTGTGTTGGGTTTCAGCCTGCTTGTCTATGAAATGAATTCCTTTCCAGAGAACCTGGAAGGCTTCTCCCAGCCCTACCCTCCAGTTCTGCAGTTCCATTCTTCAGGGTATTTCTGAGCTGGAGTTAGAGGCTAGCTGGGAGTTGGCATCGTCAGACAAAGGAGGAAGAAGCACAGACATCCCAGCTAGCCAGTGCCTCAGGGGCAGGGGTACCCGAGTTCAACCGAAAGAATGTGGGATTCTGTTTGCAGGGGAGAGGATTTTGGTTACCTGACCTTTCTGAACTTTCCAATCAACATTTTATAGAAAATGTGGAAAGAGTTGAGGTCGTGTTTAAAAATTTCAGTTGTTTTCTGTTCTACTCCGTAGGGTAGCATGCCACCTTGAGACATTAGTCAGCTCAGGAAAATTCAAGAATCTGCAACTCCAGACCTTTGACTAATCAGATTCTTTTGTATCGGTGTCAGCTCCGCTGTGACACAAGTTGGTATGGTGGTGACCAGGCGTGATCCATCCCCTTAGCACTTTTTTAAAAAATTTATTTTATTGAAGTATAGTTGATATAGAATGTTGTGTTAATCTCTGCTGTACAGCAAAGTGATTCAGTTATACATATATACACGTTTTTCTATATTCTTCTCCATTATGGTTTATCACAGAATATCGAATATAGTTCTTTGTGCTGTACATTAGGACCTTGTTGTTTATCCATTCTATATATAATAGTTTGCATCTGCTAATCCCAAACTCCCTGTCCATCCCTCCTACCCCCGCCCCTTGACAACCACAAGTCTGTTCTCTCTGTCTGTCTGTTTCTGTTCCGTAGATATGTTCATTTGTGTCCTAGTTTATTTTTGTTTTTGTTTTTGTTTTTTTGCGGTACGCGGGCCTCTCACTGCCGTGGCCTCTCCCGCCGCGGAGCACAGGTTCCGGACGTGCAGGCCCAGTGGCATCGGCCCACGGGCCCAGCCACTCCGCGGCACGCGGGATCCCCCCGGACCGGGGCACGAACCCGCGTCCCCCGCACCGGCAGGCAGACCCCCAACCACTGCACCACCGGGGAAGAAGCCCTGTGTCCTATTTTAGATTCAACATATAAGTTATATGATACACTATTTGTCCTTCTCTGTCTGTCTTACTCCACTGAGTATGATAATCTCTACTTGCATCCATGTTGCTGCAAATGGCATTATTTCATTCTTTTTTATGGCTGAGTACTATTCCATTGTATATATGTACCACATCTTCTTTATCCATTCATCTGTCGGTGGACATTTAGGTTGCTTCCATCTTGGCTATTGTGAATAGTACTGCTCTGTGAGCATAGACATCCCCTTAGCACTTTAAAGAGAAAGGTCTTCACCCAGATGACCCAGTTGCCCTGCCTGTGACATTGATGTTTTTGTACCAATTCTCAAAGCCATTTCTGAGCTAGACTCAACATCATGAAGAAAAGATAGTCCAGAAAATCCCCATGTGCCTGTTAAATCATTACAAACTAATAAAGGCAGTTCAAGATGCCTTATTGAGCTCAGGGCCCTCTGGAAGAAGGCTGTGCCCATACTTTGACATGAGTAGTTAGCACATTTGAAAACAGGCTTTTAAAAAGTGGAATGTGTCTGCCTATTTGATTGCGATATCACATATAAGTGATATCACTTAATTAGAATAAGTTATAGTAGATGAAGTCATTAACAGTTGTCATATCGATTTCCCTAAAAGGGTATATATATATATATATATATATATATAAAATAGAATTAGGACCTATTTCTAATAAAAATTAAGATTTGAGAGATACCTTCAAAGCTTAACAAAGAATATCTACTTTATTCCAAATAGTTGCATAATACTTTTTTTTTAATTGAAGTATAATTGATAGTTGATTTACAATGTTGTGTTAGGTTTAGGTATACAGCAAAGTGATCCAGTTACGTGTGTATAGAGATAGATAGGTAGATAGATAGATAGATTCTTTTTCAGATTCCTTTCCCTTATAGATTATTACAAGATATATAGTTACATAATACTATACCAAATAGTTACATAATACTTAATGGAAAAAAATGTTTTTAATGTTTTAAGTAGATCCCTTAAGTACAGAAACTAAACAAGGGTATCCTTTGAGACCGTGTTCTCTGATTTCGTATTGGAATCCTTGACATTTAAACAAGCAATGAAAAGAAAAAGGGAATAAATTTTGGAAGTAAAGAAATATTTATAGATATGATTCTATATCTAGGAAATATTTTAAAAATCAAAAAGAGATTACTAGAGATTATAAAAGAGTAGGTAAGGGCTTCCCTGGTGGCGCAGTGGTTGAGAGTCCGCCTGCCGATGCAGGGGACACGGGTTCGTGCCCCAGTCCGGGAAGATCCCACGTGCCGCGGAGCAGCTGGGTCCGTGAGCCATGGCCGCTGAGCCTGCACGTCCGGAGCCTGTGCTCCGCAATGGGAGAGGCCACAACAGTGAGAGGTCCGCGTACCGCAAAAAAAAAAAAAAATAGTAGGTAAGATATTTTAAAATATATTTCATATTTTTATAAGCCTCATTTCAAAGCATTGTTAATTTTTTCAGTTATCTATTTCTGTATAACAAACCACCCAGAAATTTATGGCTGAAGACAGCAATGGTTTGTTATGTCTGATGATTCCATGGGTTGGCTAGGCTCAGCTGAGTGATTCCTCTGCCTCCTATGGTTTCAGCTGAGGCCACACATGTGGGTATATTCAGCTGGAGCTCAACTGGGTCTGGAGCCTTAAGGGACTCCACTCATGTGTCTGTACCTGGAACAGCTGGGCTCTAGCTGGACCCTTGTCTCCAGCGGGTAATTATACTTCTTCACATGTGGCTTAAGGAATCAGGAGACCATAAGCAGGAGATACACGGTATAT